GATCGTTGAAAGCCCAGATCGTAATCGTGATTAAAATTCGATTAATTGAGCAGCCCTACCGTCACCGATCCACGGAGGACACCATAGCCACAGCACTCCATGTTGCCATAATATATCTGAAGGGGAATGGGAACTATGTGTGGATGCTCTTCATGGATTACTGCTCAGCTTTTAATACCATCCTTCTACACAAAATGGTGGTCACGCTACAAGACCTGGGGCTGCCTCACAGCACCTGCATGTGGATCAACAGCTTCCTCTCCGGCCATAGACAGAGAGTCAGAGTTGGCCATCACACATCCTCAGCCCTGAGTCTCAGCACTGGCTCACCCCAGGGCTGTGTGCTCAGTCCAATGCTTTCGCTTCCTGTGAGTCAACATAGAGGAGAACCTTTCCTGGAGCATGAACACCTCTGAGCTGCTGAAAAAGGCCCAACAGAGACTGTACTGCCCAAGAATTCTCAGGATGAATAACATCACACAGAGACACTGGTGTCCTTCTACAGAGCCTCCATCGAAAGCATACTAACCTACTGCATATGCATCTGGTACACTAACTGCACAGTGGCTCAGAGGAAAGCACTCCAGAGGGCCATTAACACGGCCCAAAGGATCATTGGCTGCCCTCTCCCCACGCTGGAAGATTTACACAGCACCTGCTTGAAAAAAAAAAAAAGCCCAGAACATCATAAAAGATATCTCACACCCTGGCCACTCCCTGTTTGAACTGTTGCCCTCTAGCAGAAGGTACAGAGCAATCAATGCAAGGACAAACAGACTCAAACACAGCTTTTACCCAACTGCTGCTACATGGTCATTATGCTGCTAAAATGGTCTATGTACTTGCTGAGGTATGTGTGTGTGAATGTAGGGAATTGTTTGTTCATACTGTTAGTGAAGGTATACTATTCTTATTAGCACTTAAATTATCTTTATCTTTATCTTTATTGTTTTTATTTCATTTTAATTTTATGGATGATGTACCGATTGGAGACCACTTCAATTTCGTTGTACCTGTGAGAGTGACAATAAACACAATTCTATTTTATTTTATTCTATTCTGTTTTAAAAGCCTTTGAAAATCTTTCCTGTAATTTTTTTCTGTCTTTCTTATTATTTCTTTCCTTTTGGTTAATTGGATTAATGCATTTTGAGATCATTTACCCATTTAACCATCACCAATTATTGAAATAATAATAATAATAATAATAATAATAATAATAATAATAATAATGTCATAATTTACATTAAATATCTGCAGTGTCACATGACCAGAACTGTTTATGTCCTGGCTGTACCATGAGAAGAAGATGGCTAGACCCTTAAAATATGTTAACACAAAGACAGGATCATTTGTTTTGATAGGCATGACCTTAAAGATGTCTAGTATTGCAGTCTTGTGATTGAACATTTAGTTATGCGCATTTAGTTATACATGGTAGCGGAAGTTCTTGCTCCAGCTACCGTCAGAACCACACAGCTGCCTTTCCTGGTATTCACGCTTGTTTGGACTCCATCTTTACCTTGATGGTTCACTTCATCTCTTATATCCACAATCTGGTTCTGCCACAACAGACAGTGACCACCTCATGATAGTAACTCTGTGAAGAAATATCCTTTGGAAATAATGTTTATAAGATAGAAAAAAGAAGACACGTCTTCTGTTGGCCAAATTGTATTTTTCTTTTTTTTGTCACAGTAAAAAGTGACCATTATGTTAAATCATATTTCCTGATAGAGCAACAGTCAGCTGTTGAATTAAAAGTCACTCGTGTGTCATTATTATCATTCTTCTTCTCAGACAAACCCTCTGTGGATAAGCGATACTGTGGACTGATCCAGAAGGTGAGTCATGTCACATCTCAAATAGCAGCAGATTTTTGTTTTTAACCTTGATTTGATTTGAATTCTTCAGCAGGAAATGATTTAACAGTAACTGCATCATTTTACCACTGAAAAAAGTCAGTATGTACATTTTTCCTGTTTTCTTCTGTGCTAAAGAAAAAAAACGAGACAGATCAAGCATCAGAAACCTATCACCCCAAACATATCACCCTATTAGAGCACTTCGCTCTCACTCTGCAGACCTACTTGTTGTTCCTAGAGTATTTAAAAGTAGAATGGGAGGCAGAGCCTTCAGTTTTCAGGCCCCTCTTCTGTGGAACCAGCTTCCAGTTTGGATTCAGGAGACAGACACTATCTCTATTTTTAAGATTAGGCTTCAAACTTTCCTTTTTGCTAAAGCATATAGTTAGGGCTGGACCAGGTGACCCTGAATCCTCCCTTAGTTTTGCAGCACTAGGCTTAGGGTCCTGGGGGATTCTCTTCTCATTTCACTCCCTGTCTGTTTAAAAAGCACAACTGTATGTAATCATTAGTAATTATTAAATGCAGGGTCTCTTTTCTGTTGTGTCCTTTGTCCTTTCTCTCTGCTTGCTTCTCTCTCGTCACCCCCAACCGGTCATGGTTGCCCCATCCTGAGCCTGGTGCTGCTGGAGGTTTCTTCCTGTTGAAAGGAGTTTTTTCCCTTTTGGTGCTATAAAATAAAGTTGAACTGAAATACTTTTGTAAATTGATATACATGATTGCATAAATTAATATAACAGACTTACTAAATAAATGGATTACTGCTCAGCTAAAGACTTGACTAAATAAAAATATCCTGTAATTTTATTGACTGTTCCAGGTAGCAACGGTGGCAGCAGTTAAGCATCTACTTTTGGGAGCTTTAAATGATTTGAGCAATGAAGAGCTTGATGAGTTCGAGAGATTCCTAGATTTGACTAAGAATCTGCATTACACCTCAGGGATGTTAAATCATTTGTCAATCAGAGCAGTTATAGTGAATCTGATGGTGGATGAACTTGGTCAACAGTCTGTGGAGGTGACCAGAGAAGTTTTCATGCACATGAACAGAACTGATCTGGTTCAGAAGTTACCAGAGAGCAGCTCAGCATCCAGAGGTAAGACCAACAAATCAGTATGTTTGAGTGTAAATGTTTGGCCTTGTTACCCAGTGATGGACAGGGATACCTTGTCTCTGTCTTCCTGTGAGAGTTGTTATATATTCCAATCCCACACAACTCTAATTTTCAAATGAAATTAGTATTTTTTTTATTGGTTTGTTTTTTGGATGTGTCATTTTACTGTGTATTATATTGTTTTTTTATTTTAAAGCATCATGTTTGGAAGTGTGATGATGTTTGAATCCTCAGAGTTGATGGTAAATGTCTTTCCTCCTCAGAGAAACACTCTGTGGATGAACATGGAGCTGCACTGTTGAAGAGAGTGAGTGTGACTTTAACTCAGCTTTCATTCAGTAGATTCAGGCTGTAAATCATCCTCATCTTGAACATTAAACACAATGAAACAGACGAAGCATCTTTGAAACTGGATGCTTCTCACAGTGTTAATGTGGAGTCTGCAGCAATAATGTTTCCACTGACGACAGAGTGAAGGATCTACTCCTGACGATAAAACCAGGAAATGACATCTTTAGATTTCAACTTAAAAAGTTATATATAGTTAATAGTTATTTTAATTGTAATTTAAATATAAATGAATGAATAAATAATCTAATTTAAAGACTACATTTCAAGTATAAGTATTAAGGTTCTTCTAAACACTTTTTTAAAAAGCAGCATTTAATGTTTAAATCTAATGAGATCGTGTTTTTTCTCTTCTGTAACTCAGTGCAGACACATAAAAACAGTCTGCAAACAAAACAAGGTGAATATAATGAAAAGTGCAGATATTATCAAGTCTCACATTGTCATGACTCTTGGGAAGATAAAGAGAGAGATAGTAAGACATTAAACATCTCAGAAGATAATTTACTTGCTTAAACTATCTTGTGAATTTTTCAGGATGAAGCACTTGCAGTTGTTGAACAGATTATTTTAGAAACACTGAAGGATTTGAGTCACAAGGAAATCAAGAAATTCAGGCTGTTAGTGTTGTTCACATGCTCAAAGATAGACCTACCAGAAATGGAGAAAGACACAACAGACAAAGTGGTGCATCACATGGTGGATGAACTTGGCCTGCAGTCTTTGGAGGTGACCAGGACGGTTTTAAGAGATATGAACAAAACTGATCTGGCACAGAGGCTTTTGGAGCTCACCAAAAGATTCAAAGGTAAGTTATGTAAAAAAGAAGTATTAATGTATTTATCATACAGAGTAAGGTCTGTTCCCATCCTGTGACGGATGGATTAGACTCCAGGGTCCTGGTGACCTTAAATTAGATAAGCAAAGGGAAATGGATGCATGGAGACAGTTTCTTTATGTTTTAGTTGGTTGACCTTTGGTGCTCAGGGGATTTCCCAGTGAGTTTAATGGGTTTTCAATTGAGGCAGCCTTTATGATGGCAATAAAACACGTGGACAGTTAGAGTTACTGATTTTATTTATGAATATAACAATATGTTGTTTTAATTCTATGTGCCCTAACAAGGACAAACTAAAAGAAGCTTGAAACCTGAGGTATGTGGAACTATGATGGAAATCTCTTTGCTTCTTTATTGCATTTTTGAAATTTATGTGATGTGTCGAAAAGAAACGCCTACACTACTACATTTCCTAACGTGACTGTCCTCTGCAGCAGGACTGCAGTGATTGGACTAAACTTGAACCTGAGGTGAACAGTACAGATGCAGACGAGGCTCCAACTTACAGGTAAATCAACTTCCTGAATGCTGCAGCACAGCAAACTGGAACTACAGGAAACAGTTCAGCTTTGGATTTATTCCCAGAGGAAATTCTTCATTTTGCCTCCGATTCACACGACTACTCTCTGTGTTTCCATTCACTCTGTTGTTCCTTCATGAGTGTGTATTTAATTCCTGTTTCAGCCTTCAGTCTGCAGCAGGACACTTTGAATGCAGAGTGTCGGGCTTGCGCTGG